CCCACCCCCGGACCCCTTCCCGCGGACCGGCAGACAAAGGCCTCCAGGCCGCCGGCTCCCGGGCTCCGCGGGGCCACACCGTGCCGACCCTCGGCTGCCCAAATGGCGCGTCTGGGAGCGCCCAGCGGACGGGCCCGCGTTATGAAGGATGACATGGGAGCATCGCGGCGAATCTGTTTTGCGCGCTTCTTTTGTGCCGGGCTCTGTGCTAAAATGTTTACACGGATCTGGTGATGGGTAGTGACCGAGCGGGCGCAGCATCCACTGGTTGGTTGTGGGCAGCACAGATTTCGATGTTGGTAAAAATCTGGCCCTGCGGATTCCCTGTGTGACCTTGGGGGAAACGACTTCCCTTTTTTTGAGCCTCGTTCGTTCATCGTTTTCGAATAATAGTGATCTCATTAGACCTTCCTTTTTACCATGGGTCTTAAGTGAGATGATACGCTGGAAGCCCGAACCCCAGGGCCCTGCTCTTTGGAGGCGAGCACTGTTAACTGCCGTTGTCAGCGTCACTATTATTGGTGCTACAACTGTCCCCATTTTATAGATGGAGTTGGAAACAGGCAGTCATGTCGTCACACCAAGGTCACACTGCCAGTGAGTGTGGGGTGGGGATTTGAACCAGGTCCATAGGCCTAGGCCCTCTGAACCAATCACTGGCCCTGTTTTCCCAGACTGTCTTTGATTCTTGGCTGTCTACTTTGAGTGTCTTAAGCTGAGGGGGTGTTTCTCTCCTTGTAGGTGGCCTTCCCTTATGAAACACTACAGCCCCACCGACTACGTCAATTGGTTGGAAGAATATAAAGTTCGGCAAAAAGCTGGATTAGAAGCCCGGAAGATTGTAGCCTCGTTCTCAAAGAGGTTCTTTTCAGAGCACGTAAGGATCTGTTGATGTGACTCCAAGCTTTTGCCTGTGTGTATCTGGTCTGTAGGCATTAGCTCATCCAGATCTTTTTTGCTATCTCCCTCTTCAATGCTCTCACAATCCCTTACTCACAGGGCTGCAGGAGTCATTGTGTCCTTTTCCTCCTATCCAACAACATGAAGCCGTTTGTCCCTGCCAGCTTTACTTTTCTAAAGCCAGAGAGAGAGAATGGGAGTGGGAGGGCAAAGGGAGGGACATGCAGCACAATGCAGAGGACCGTCTAGATCAGCATTATTGGTCTTCAAGTGGTTAGACTTTTTTATTTTCTTTTTTTTTTTGAAACATGCACAAGATTTGGGGAATCACCAGTAATTGAAACATTATAAATTCCTCCCAGTTGTTTCCCCAGAAAGGTTCACGAAATTAATGTGGTTCTTCTCTCTGGCTTTGCAGGTTCTGTCCAGTAGGGAACTGCATTATGTGTTGAGGTAACAGGATCAAAAGCTACATAAACCAGAACTATTACTCCCTCAAATAAAAAATCTTGTGTTCACTGTCCCTGGAAAGTGTTTTTTTGTTGTTTTTTTTTTCCTCCTTTTTTCAAACTATTCCTGAAATGTAAGGTATTCTGTTTTGTTTTATTTTGATTTTCCTTGCTCAAAAGATCTCATGGAATTTTCTGTTTTCACTCCCGATTCTGAACCTTTTGCAACTTTGGAAAATAGTTCACTGTAATATTTCAGTATCATCTAACTATTAGATAGTTATTTTTGATTGGAGGTCTGGAAATAGAGATGATCTAGTTTATTTTATTATCCTGGTTTACCAAAAATTACTTCTCATTTCCTAATTTTAACTAGTGTTAGTGGTATTCCCACATTTGGATGTTTTCAAGGCTTTTCAAGTTTCAAAGGGAAAACTTAGAACTTTGGACACATTTGAACTTATTCCCCTATAGGGGAAGAAAATAGTCTCTATTGTTATTCTTGCCTACAAATGTTTTGTCATGTTTGAATGAACAAAATGTTTGTTCTACTTTGAAGAAACCATGTAGTGGCTGAAAGCCCTCATAATTGCCAATGGTAAATACTGGTTTAAATATGTTTGCATATTTTGGTACTAAATGTGTTGAATGCGATTGGTCAAAGGCTGCTAGTTTGCAGCCTCTGTCTCCTTCTAATCTAGCTGGGTTTATGTCTGTTTTCAACAGTCTGTGTCTTTGTCTAATAATGATGGATTGATATGTTTTTTCCTTAGCTCCTTCTTTCCCTGTCCCACTGCTTAATTAGAAGCATGTCAAGGACTTTGAACACAGCAGGAACATACTTAAGATGATCTGTGGGTGGCGATTGCTTTGGCTCAAGATCTTGTGGTCTTGTGTTTTTATCATGTGTGTAGGTTGACCTGAAATGTCCTGGCTACTTTTGAAAAGCAAAGTGGGAGAAGTCATAACATTTTAAACTAAGAGGTTCTTAAAGCTTATTCTTACCACCACCTTGATTTACAGAGAAGGAAACATGGTCGGTGGGATAAAGGAGTTGCCTAATGTACTAGGCTCACCTCTCTGGCCTGCTTCTCCTTGTTGAATACAATGTAAACTGTGAAAAATGATTAGTGTGAATTATGGAATGTTGTAGTTCTAGTCTTTCTTTCAGAGCTATTTTTTGTTTATATAACAACTGTGAGTTACCAGTTTCATAAATTCTGTGGAAACTTAATGTATAGAAACCAGAAGATCTGAACAAATTATTATTCCTCATGTTACTTTCTATTTCTGATGGTGGTACAAGGTTGTGTAGAATAGCTGGTACTACTGTCCTTGTAAATGGGCATCTTTATTTGCTTTTTTTTTTTTTTTTTAGTTTATTATTTATTTCTCCATAAGCAAGAGAGATAGCATCCCCAACAGAATCCAGATGCCCTGATCCATAGCCAGATGATGGGCATTGCATGTGCCCAGCACACTCAAGAGAGGTCTCTGGACTTGAACCAGAAGTTTTCTTCCCCTGCAGGATGGCCTGCAGAGTGTCGCATTTTACCACTGCACCACTGTCTGGTCCCAGTTTGCAACTTGTATTTGTGTATGAGAGTGATGACTGCAATTAACACTCCTAATTGAGGCCTACTTGTGTATGTCTTTCTCATAGGTTCCTTGTAATGGCTTCAGTGACATTGAGAACCTTGAGGGACCAGAGATATTTTTTGAGGATGAACTAGTGTGTATCCTAAATATGGAAGGAAGGTAAGCCATACCTTTAGCAGCGATTGTTTGTTCATTTTAAATAATAACCCCAGAATAAATGTGGCCGAATCCTAGGACATGTTTCCAAATAGTTCATGTCTTGCTGTACTTAGAGTTTGGGAGTATTCTGCATATATAAAATAAACACACCACAGATGATTGATACATAGAGAAACCTTGCAAAAATCCTTGAGGAAAAAAAATTAATGTTTAGCCCAACTGTGGATAAAATCGTGTGGTGTGGGCACTTGGTCTGTTATGTCATTTAGAAATCTTTTATTGATAATTATATATGTTGTCTTTCTTTTGTTATCACCTTCACATTGCCACTACCAAATTTGCTTGTCATGAGTCGAATCTTATTTTTTAAAATAATTTCTTAGGTATGTCTTAATTTAATGGGGAATTTTTCTTACAGTTTCTGAGTTTGAGTAAGAAATGATTTTGCTTTGGTCCTGAATACTGTGGATATTTAGTTGAGCCTTTCTTTTATCTCTGTCAGTGGACTGTGTTACTTATGTACATCCCTAATCAAGAAGAACCTGTTATCTCTTGGTTGTTGCCTACCCTCTTTTGTGCCTTATATTTTCTGCTGAGAAGGTTGAATTCCACTTTACCTGAAAGGTGACTTGGCTTCTAGCCTAACTTGCCTATGGAAAAGATTTTCTGCTCTAAAAGTTCTGAGACTAGTGATGGAAGATAAAGATATTAGTTTAGCTTCTTCCTTAAGAGAAGTCATTGTGAAATAGCTTACAAACAAGGCGTAAAATATTTTCATTGGCATTTTTATAAGGGGACTTAGGAGAGAGAAATATCAGTAGAACAAGTGTGAGGAGAGGTAAGATGTGTCTCTATTCTAGGCCTTGGATGAGTTCAGATGCAAGGTCATTTTTCGTTTCTATTTTGGTTTATCTATAAACGAATTGAAGTATGATCTAGTAGTCAGTATTGTGCAGCCTTAAATATAAAAGCTGACATGTCTTTTTACACATGTACATACACATATGTTTTTTAAAACAAATATAATCTCATAATACTTTATTGGTTGTTTTAATGTGTAGTGTAGACGTTGATTTTTTTCCCAATCTGTACTGTTTTCCCCTTCTTCCCTGTGCTGTTTCCCCCTTCTTCTCTACTCCTGTTTACATTGGTCTTCCTTGCCTCCATTCCTATAATTCATAATTACAAACTAGATTGTAGTCTTCCATGCTAATAGACAATGATATATATGGAGAATTGGGGGGAAGATCATTATTTCACAAAATCGGAATCATGTGATAGGTACTTTCTTATATATTTTCTTTTCTCATTTAATATTACCTTATAGAAATGGTAATCATCTATCCTAATTGACTGGTAACAATTCAGATTTAACCCGCAGCTTTGGTGCAGGCTGTAGTGTATCTATTCACAGTGCTGGAAGCAGTATGGCTGATCATGGGTTCAGATCTTGAACTGACCTGAGCGTGGTTGTACATGCGTCCAGAATCCTGATTAGCTGGAGGACGGAGGGAAAGGGATCATGACATGATAGGACCCTGTTAACAGTGCTCCCCCCCCCAAAAAAAAAATAGTTCTGTCTCTCATGGGAGAAATAAAATAAACCTAAAAGGGGGGGGGCAGCCTGTGGCATGGTGGGTAGAACAGGTGGATCCCACATGGCTGGCTGCACAGTTCAAGTCTTGGACCCAGCAGCTTGAGGGATGTGCCAGTTACATGTATGTACATGCCAAAAATCCCAAAAGGAGAATGGAAAGGGGATTGCGGTGTAGCCATACCCTCCCTGTGGGGGTGATTTCTCACTTTCCCTCTTACCACATGTCCCTCTTGCGCGCGCATGCGCTCTCTCTCTCTCTCTCTCTCGCCCTTAGGCAAAAATCTCCACCAAGAAAAAAAGTTTGTAAGCAATAGATTTTGGGGATGAGTTTCTTAGGTCATGCTATATAATATTATTGAAAAAACATAAAGTGAGAAGTAGCATGTCTCTGAATGGGAAGATTTACTATCATAAGAATGTCAGTTCTCTAAAAGTTAATACATGAACCTATTACTATTCCAGCTAGGATCCAAACCAGGTCTTGGAAAGGGGAGGTTTTTGTTTTGTTTAGTTGTTTCTTTCACTTGTATAATGTTGTTATAAAATAGATACAGAAGAGTAAGTTCACAAGCAGAGCCAGAATAAAATGTTTTAAAATAATCATAATGAGGAACTTGCATAACTAGGCATTATTGCATAAATGAAAATAAGTAGCCTCATCAGCAGCAAGGATAATTTGGAAACATGTCCGAGGATAAAAGATAATATATTTAAATTCTGAGGGGGAAAATGGATTATTTAATAAATAGTGCTGGACATAACAAATATCCATCTGAAAGAAAGTAAAACTTAATACAAGAAATATATTTCAAAGGATCAAACAACTAAAATTGAAAAAGGATTGCAATAAAAATCCCTTAAGAAAATAAGAGACTTGGGGCCAGCAAGCAGTGTTGCAGTTAAGGCGCTGGTCTTCCGTATGATCGACTGCAATTTGAGTCTCAGATCTAGTGTCTGCCTGCTCACTTTCCCTCTTTCC